AGTTTTATCATCTTGAAAGAATGAATTCTAAAGCCTACTTCCAGTAGACAGAGTAGAAAATATATATATATTTTTTCATCTAAAATTAGGGATTAGAAGGAAGAAAAGCTATGCTCTTGGAATTATCTTTTAATATTAAAAAAAACAAGGAAGAGAATTTTAATCTAAAATTCTGCTATACTTAGTCACTACAATCCCATGTGCAAATTTTCAAGTACTTCATAGTTCTTCTAAGTCAACTTGCAATAAACTAGGTAGAGGGCTGCAGCATTGATTACCTAGAGAAATCTAGAACTATAGTCAAGCTCAAACCACATTGTTTTTAAGATAAACTTTTTTTCCCCCTGTTGTATATACAGTTGATTCTTATTATTCATGGTAGTTATATTTTATAAAGGCCCCATGAATGCTGAATTAGCAGATATTAAACCATTGCTCCTAGGGGAAATACAGGGTTAGGTTCTTGAGAGCCTCCATTTTTTTTTTTTTTTTTTAAAAGATGACCGGTAAGGGGATCTTAACCCTTGACTTGGTGTTGTCAGCACCACGCTCAGCCAGTGAGCGAACCGGTCATCCCTATATGGGATCCGAACCCGGGGCCTTGGTGTTATCAGCACCACACTCTCCCGAGTGAGCCACGGGCCGGCCCAAGAGAGCCTCCATTTTTTAAATCTTTTTTTTTTCCCTCTTTGTTCCTCACATTGGATAATTTCTATTGCTCTATTTTCAAATTCACTTATTCTTCTCTTGGTCATCCCCATTCTGGTTTTAATTTCATTCAGTGATTTAAAAAAAAAAAAATTCAGATACTGTACTTTCTAGTTCTAGAACTTCCATTTGCCCCCCCCCCCCCCCCCCCCCTCTTCCCCTGAAAAAGCCTAAAGAAAAAAAAAAAAAAAGGACCCCCCCCCCCCCCTCTTCCCCTGAAAAAGCCTAAAGAAAAAAAAAAAAAAAGGACCCCCCCCCCCCCCTCTTCCCCTGAAAAAGCCTAAAGAAAAAAAAAAAAAAAGGACCCCCCCCCCCCCCTCTTCCCCTGAAAAAGCCTAAAGAAAAAAAAAAAAAAAGGACCCCCCCCCCCCCCTCTTCCCCTGAAAAAGCCTAAAGAAAAAAAAAAAAAAATTTTTTAAAAAAAAGGGGGGGGGGGGGGTCCTTTTTTTTTTTTTTTTTTCCTTAAGGCTTGTCAAGTGAAGCAGAGGGAGTGGATCCTATCTTTTTTTTATTAATTGCAGGAATATTTTTTCTTTACTTCATTGAGAATAATTATAATATCTGCTTTAAAATCCTTGTCTGATAATTCTAACATCAGGATTATTTTGGGACTGATCTCAGTAGCTTTTCTTTGCTCTTAAGAATATGTTCCATTTTCCTGTTTTTTTAATATAGTGAGTAATTTTGGACTGCATCCTGGATATCATGAATGTTAAATTATGGAGTCTCTGGATTCTGTTCTTCTCCAATGAATGGTTTGTTTTTGTTTTTTAAGCAGGCAACTACCTTGCTTGGTTTAGGGGTTAGCCAGAGATGGAGGCAGACAGAATTTGGGAATCCACTGTCTGGATCGTTCCCTTCCAGGACTACCCCTCTTTCTCCTCCAACTGTGGTTTCCCCAGATCCCCAGGCCCCTCTTATTAAAAGATTTCTCTGTCAGTGCCCCTCCTGCAGTACATGCTTTGCCAAATAAACATACTTGCCTCTAGGTTAAAAGCCAAGAAAATGGGTACTCACTGTGTACATCACCACTCCTCTAAGCATGGACTCCCTGTGAGAATCAGCCTGCTTATAATTCCTCTCCAGTGATTTTAGGTAGCTGCACATTATATTATGTCCAGAGTTTATGGATGTTATTTGAAGGACAGCCAGTCTGATAGGCTACTGCTCAGCAATTACTGCTCCAATTATTGCCTTTGGGATGAATTTATGAATATGAATGTTCTAAACATTTATAATACTTATAATAAACAAGTCACTATGAACAGATCCAACCTGAGAAAGGCTGGGTAGTTAAGCACAATTTCCTCATTCTGTTGTTCAGCTAATCTTCTCCATGTTGAACAGGGCTGGTCTTAACTCTGAAGCCCAACAGAAAGTGCAAGTCTGAACATATCCTCTCCTGGGTATTCCTTGTAAAATTATTTTTCAGCAAAGATAAGGTAGAATGGGTTTAAAGGGGGTTCCTCTGACATCTACTAGGTTTCAGGCTACACAACAAACAGATATGGACATAAGGCCAAAACAAGGCTAAGCAGAGAAAATAGTTTTTCAAAAAGAAAGTGAATGCAGTATTTCCCTCCAGTATGGATATTGTGTTGACTGAACAAAACTGGCTACTTTCAAATGGGAAAAAGGTTAAAAACACCTGAGTTAGGGGTGGTGATGTCTTCCCTCTGATCCCAATCTATCTCCTGATCTTCTGAACTTCTACCTCCTTTCCAAGGTGCCATAAGCAGCAACATCCTTGGCCAGCATCAGAGAATTCACTGAAACCCGGTATTATCTCTTGGCGTTCTACTGCTTGAGAGATGGTGATTAGAAGGGGGAAACACACACACGCACGCGCGCGCACCCACACACACACAAAACTTCATCAACAAAGTGGCATTTTCATTTCAGCTGTTCCTGGGGGCAAAACAGAGCCATAAAGAGAAATCTGAGATTGAAAGCTTTGTGGTTATCTCCACTTCTCATTAAAGTGCCCCTGATTATAATCACACCTACAATTACAAGATTTAACACACCTGGTCTCAAGGATGCACTAGGAAGAGGAATCATACATTCATCCCATCCCATTTCCTTTTCTTTATTCACTGGGTAAGCACAATTTATAAATTTCACTGAGTTCAGACTAGAGAGGGTTTGGAGAAGAGGAGAGAGGTTTTTCATTAATACAGTTTCTGAAAGTGACAAAGATCTTCCATGGCCACAGATTATTTTAGTACTGGTGAGACAAGCAGTGTTGCTTTCATTGGCAACATACAGATGTGAGAAATCTAGATAGAGTTTCTATTTCTTCTCTCACTTTGCTAACCAGACATTTTGCTCTGCTTCACTCTCTCTCTCTCACTAAGGGTAGGTGCACTTACACAGTTTTGTAGATTTCTTTTAATAGTGTTGCAACTTATACTTTTAAGTAAAAGTTTATTTTGAGACAATTTTAGATTTACAGAAAAGTTGCAAAGATAGTACAGAGTCCCATATACCCCTCACCCAGTTTCCCTTGTTAAAAACTTACATAACAATGTCAAGAGTTTTGTGGATCTTAACAATGGATGAAAAACACTGATCTTTCTTAATTTGCTCTTGTACAGCAGATCCTCAACAAGAGCAGTTTGTATCCAAGTTATGATCTCTACATTTCCCATCTTCATCAGGGTCCTAGATAACCTGGAACTTCCAGCCCCTCCAGGTGAAAGCTCCCAGTTACTGAGAAATTCTATATCTACAGAAATTTTTGAGTCAGCCAGATCATTCTTCCCCATTCCCCTAAATGTCACTATGAGTCACCTACCCAATATCTTTTTCCTCCCATCTTCCTTGCTAACTAAAATTCAATTTTGTTCAGAGTAGTGATGTGCCAGCTAAATACATTGTCAGGCTCCCTTGCAGCTAGTAGTAATTATGTGAGACAGTTCTGCATTTGATTTTAGCCAAAAGGTCAAAAAGTGATAATATGAGTCAGTTCTGCCCAATGAAACAAAATGGGGGTCAGCTGGGGGGTTATGGAAAACTGTTCTAGTTCCCCAAAATACCATACAAAAGCACTTAGAGCTGCCCTTCTCTCATCTTCTTTCTTGCTTATTTAAATTAGTCATAATAGCTAGAGTTGTAGCAGCTATCTTATAGCCATGAGACGAAGGCCAGGAGGATTATAGAAATATTGGTCCTGTTGACATGCAGCTGCTAAATGAACACCACCGACCTACATATTTCTTGTGATGTGAGAAAAACAAATCCTTACTTGTTTAGGCCATTTTAGTTGGAGTTTTTATAATTTGTAGTTGAACATGTTCATACCAGATAAAATCATTCAGTCCAAACTTTAATCTACACAAGGCAGATGAGAGGGAGAGAAATGCAGCTGAGGGTAAAGCACAGGGAAGTAGCCATTTGGAAATTCAATAGTCTAGCTACTGAGCCAAAACAACAGCAAGTAGGTATTTAAAGAGAAAATATGGCTGTGTAGGGAAGGAAGAGGATAACTAACAAGTCTGTGCTTGTACAAAAATGGTGTCAGAAACTTAATATGGTAAAATTCTAGCATGAATAAAGCCTCTATGTATACAAAACAATCACTCTTATAATGACTTCACTGACACTTGGTTAAATACCAGCCACAGATGAGTATTATGGATACCAAGAAGTGAATTATTAATGTAAACTTTCTATATGAAGTCAACTGGGAATGAGCTTCCATTAAAATCAAGAAGAAAATTAATTTAGAGGTCAGTCATTCTTAGCACACATGTGGTTATATATACTTTTTGTATTGGCCACACACTGGGGAGAAATCCAGCCAAACCCACTTGAAGGAGGAAGAACATTTAATTTATGCAGCAACTAAAATCTTATGGATTGAACTTAGCTAGAAAGGAAACATCTTAAATGAGGCCCTTTAGTAATTCAGCATGAACAATTAAATGAGTCAGAAAGACAAGTCACTAAAGTTCAGGCTACAGAGGCAGGGTTAATGTGTTCCAGTTAGCTTACCTTGGAACCTGCCCCTGTGAGGAGATTGCCAGGATTCAGAGCCTCAGTCTGTAAGCCTGGGCTCTGGTTTTTCTGCAGAAATTAGTGTGAAGTTTGCCCCATATGTTACAGAGGAAATAGAGACTCTTATTAAAAATGCAAACGATACCATTTTCTTGCAACAAAATCCCTGTTGATTGATTCATTTGTATGAGTCCATCTAGGGAAAAAGTTTGGGGCCTGCCCTGGTAAAAGGAAGACTAATAAACAAAAAAAAAAGAGATGGAGAAGGTGCAAATGGCGAGAGACTGACTTACCTCAGTAGCTTTCTGGCTGAGTCCCCGAAGCAGGAGCACAACCACGTGGATGGCAGCTCTGCGCACTTGAACTTCACGGTCTGTTTTAGCCACAGCAATCAGGCAAGCTGTTATCTAGGAGGGTAAAGGAAGAAGTCAGTAAAAATCAGGATTGCACAATTACCTACAGCCTTTCAACTGTGTTCCACTTACTACATGTCCATCAAGAGCAATCTGGCTTAGAGAGGGGTGGGTGGTTTCCTCATCCTCAATAAAGAGGGCAAGATCTAGTGGTAAAGATCCTGAAGCAGTCTGGCTTTTCTGGAAAAAGGATAAAATCTGGCTTGGAATTCAGGAGTGAGGTTAGGGAGTGGGAAGGAATACATGTATATTAAAAGTATTTTTTAGGGGCCGGCCCGGTGGCGCACTGGATAGTGCGCCGCTTGGGAAGCGCGGCGGCGCTCCCGTCCGAGGGTTCGGATCCCACGTGTAGACCGGTTTCCGCTCACTGGCTGAGCGAGGCGCGGGAGCAACACCGAGGCTTGCGATCCCGTTGCCGGTCCCCGGTCCGGTGCGGGGGCAGCACTGAGGGTTGCGATCCGTTGCCGGACATGGAAAAAAGACAAAAGACAAAAAAAAAAAAAAATAAAAAAATAAAAAAAAATAAAAAAATAAAAAAAAATAAAAAAATAAAAAAATAAAAGTATTTTTTAAAAGGCAAGATCAAACGCAAATATTTCCTCCAAAGTGGAAAGAACTGTTACTTGTCCCTTGTTGAGAACATCAAATCTAAAGAAAAATGATGGTCCAAAACACAGCTGCTTCTGGGGACTGAGGGCCATATAGATTTACCTAAGGAAGCATCAGAGTTCAAGGCCTGGCATGAATATAAATGTACCATTAATGAAAGTTTCAGCCCAGGGATACAGAAATACAGAAATATTCAAACTGATCTTCTTCAGCATGTCCAGACATCCCAGTCCTACAAATCTAGTGTACACCCCATGTGAGTCAGCAGGGGCCAATATCAGAGACTCCCTGACTAGGCTTCTTCATTTGTAGGATAGATCTTTCTGTGCTCAATTACTTTAAAAGACAGTTCTACAACAGAAAAGAAAGACTGGAAATTACTTGCAAAACACGGTGCCAGATATCTAGATAATAATTATATGTCATAAAATGAGACAGTTTCTATACCCTGTACCTGCCAGGACCATCCTGCCCCTGCCTGGCTCCTAGTAGGCACAAAAATATTCAAAACTCTCAATGAAGAGATACCATTAACAACAACAAAACCATAACAAACACTTCTGAGGCATTCAAGAAAGATTTTAAAAAGAAAAAACAGATTTTCAAAGTGTGACTGATGGCAGCAACCTTCTGAAGATATGTCTAAATTATTCAATTGATCTTTCACATACTTTTGTTATTGGATTTACTATGTGAGTGTATTTCTGGGCCAACAATAGACGGGCTTTTGTTTTTGGCAACTAGCCGGTACAGGGATCCAAACCTGTGACCTTGGTGTTAGAAGGCTACACTCTAACCAATTGAGCTAACTGGCCAGCCCAGTGGAGGGATTTCTAACTACGATAAGAAAATAGCCAGATTGTGTGTTTGGGAACATGTATAAATACATATTATGCTTAAAGAATGGTGAATACAGGCACAAATGAGGAAATAGGCTTGTGCGGAAAATTTAACTATGCAGGTTGTATTTTTCACAGCTTTCAAACAGTTGGGCATAGTTCAAAGTGTCTAATTAATCAGTGAGGGGAGAGAGATTAGAAGAAGCTTGTTCTTGAATATAATTGCATCTGTGAGGCACTGGCATTTAATCAAGTTGTACATTTATTAGACAAACTTGACGCTTGCAAGTGAAGGGAAATCCCAGAAAAGCTCAACTCTTTAGGGGCTGTTTTCCAATAAGACTTAGTAAGCTGCTTCTGCCTGTAACCTGGGACCTTCCGACCCCAAGGCCAGCAGTAGCTTCCACGCCTCTGGCATTAACGGTGGAAGCAAGTCCATCCTAAGAGGAATTCCTTGGGCAACCTCCAAACAGAAAACAGTATAATAGCCACCTCCACTTTCAGGCTTAGTATTTACGAGGTAAGAGCTGAAATCAGAGAAACAAGTTAGAGCTAGGTCTGAGTCCTTCTTGACACACAAAAGTTTAGCTTACTCAATCTGATAACTCATGTACAAAAGCCAGCCCAGGGCCATGTAATGAACAGAGGCTCCCAAGCATTTTGCCCCCTTCCCCTAAGGTTTAGCTTTGGGCCCATGCTTCCATGTTTGGCAGAACAAAGCTTCCTGGCCTAGAATCCTGTTCGTATTTTTGTTCGTTACCTCTATTCTGGCTCACTGTGCTGGGCAAGCCACGCTTCCGCCTCAGCTATCAGTGTAAGGCCAGCTCTGACTGTCAGGCATTAATTCCACAATTGAGATATCTAGGCTTCAGCCTCCTGGCTGGAAAAGGGCTTTCCCTTCAAGGCCAATTCTTTTTCTTTTCTTTTCTTTCTTTCTTTTTTTTTTTTTTGCTGGCTGGTTGGTATGGGGATCTGAACCATTGACCTTGGTGTTATAACACCACGCTCTAACCAAATGAGCTATCTGGCCAGCCCTCAAGGCCAATTCTCAAATCCCTCTCCCCCTTGAAGGCATGACTGTGAGAGGAGCTGACGATTACAGCCTTGCTGAGATCAGCTGGGATGGCCTCCTGTCTGCCGCAGGCTGTTGGTGATTTTATGCATCAGACTGGACCAAGCTCATCTGCAATCAGCCACCTAGTACAATCAGGAAGAGACCTGACAAAGGAAGAACATTTGTGAACTTTCCTCAATGCCTCTGCCATCAGGACCAAATCCTATGACATGTATAACAGCTGGTCATGCATAATGTTTTAGAGCATCAGGATTTTAATATGGTCTTTCAGATATTTATCTAGAGGTAAGAACAGCCTTCTTCTGTTCAGCCAAGCTCCCATAACAGCTCATAATGCTGTTCTCCTGCAGGCCAGTGGGACAGACCCTCGTCAAAGACTAGAAGCAGGCAGGAGGCATGGCCACTCTCTTCCATCTATCCAGTCTGAACAAGTCACTCCATGCTTAGTCTTTCACTTCCAATCCTAAGGACATACCCAACATTGTGTTACACCCTTAAAAGCCCTGGCGAATGATAGATACATGATGTAAGGTTTTTACTAATTTATGAATTGGTGTGATATTTCTATTCTGTTTCTAAGTCCTCCCAGGAGGCAGAAACCCATTCTATGATCTTCGCGTCACCTGCCCTGAGGGAAAACGTACCTATTCAAATAAACCATAGGATGGAAAGCTTTCTCTTCACTGGCTAAATCATGTAAATCACATCCAATTCTGAAAGCCATACACAGAGACTGATGATTGCTTTGGAAAAATTAAAGGTCAGTTTAAGCAATTTAACACTTGACAGGAGCCAATAGAAATAAGGAAAAACACCATTCCTCAAACAGCTGGCACAAACCAAGCATAATCAGAACTATTTAAAAATGACAAGATTACCAACTGACTCTGGAAAACTCCAGGTGAGAAGGTACCAGAGTTCAGGTATGTATCAAGGAAGCATGACTTCAATTTTCCAGCTGTATCTTCATCCCTTTTCCTAAAGCTTCCTTTGTTAAAATTCTGTTGGTCTGTTAATTTGTCTGAAACTAGACCATCTGCAAACTGAGAAACCTTAACAGCAAAAGCAGAGTGGCAATAATTAGTATGAGCTCGGTTTACTCAATCAACCTGCCATGGAGGCAACCATGGTAGCAACTTCAGCTTCCTTGGGGCTTCCCAGAACATCCACCCAAGTCCTCATCTCAGGGGTCTACATATCCTCGAACTGCAAGAGCCCTATCACTTAGGAAACAGAGCTTATTGTGGCAAAAGTGATAATAAATTCAGACCATTCAACGGGATCATGCAGTAGACCCCAAAGTTCCGATATGTGGAATTCTAGGCAGCACATTAACAGTAGACTGTGCAATAAATTTGTCACCTGGGACACATCTTATTTGCTGTATTAAGGACAGGCCTCTCACTATGGTTCACCTAAATCATATGTACTTCTCATAGAGAGTAATACAGATGAAAGAACCTCTCAAGATTTGGTTTTGTGCAACACAGCTCTTGACAAGAATACACAGAAATTGGGGAAAATAGTAAGAATGCTCTCTAAATAGGTTAAATCTTGACATCAACGGAGAAGAAAAACCTGAATTCCCAGTACAAAGACTGTGGAAGGGTTGAGCTTACACTTTATATCCCTCCCCACCAGCCAGTACAGTCGTAGCACAGACAGTGCCCAAACCTGGACCACTCAACCGTTGGGACAGCTTTCTTCAGATGCCCAAGAGTTAAAACTAGGGAGAAAGGGCACTGATGCCCCCAGATCAGATTATGTTAGAAGAGACCATGATGGCTACTTTTTTATTTTTTGCTGGCCAATACAGCGATTTGAACACTGGACATTGGTGTTATCAGCACCATACTCTAACCAATTTAGCTAACCAGCCAGCTTGTTCAATTTTATACTGAAATAGCTTGGCTTCTCCTCCTCCTCTGCCTGACTAACACTTGATCAATGCAACCTTTTCGATGACCTGACAAGTTTAACAGGGTCCCAGCTCTGCGTTCCCTCAGCACCCTGTGTGGCCTCTAACCATATTGCTCTAGTCCACTGTCTGGTTACTCTGTGTTTCCCACTCTGAGGAGATTTCCTTAAAGGAAGAGATTGGATCCTTTATCTGAGATCTCTAGCATACCTGGCACATGAAAATTGCTCACGAAGGAGAATTCCTTCAGTTTGCAGTCAAAGACAGGTTTCCCCAATGTTAAAGTTCCTTCTCCACTAGCATACACTGGAGCTAAGCATTTTCAAAACTACAAAAAACTTCAAGAGCTTTCATGGGACACTGAAAAAATTGTCATAGATGAAGCCACAGTAATTTTTAAAAGTAAGTTAAATAGTTTCATTCCTCTGCTCTGGCTTCCCATCTCACTCACAGAAAAAACCAAAGTCTGTAGAGGGCCCCATTTGGACTGGCCACCACCTTTCTGATGCCAGCTCCTACAATTCTTTCTCGTACCCTCTCTTCTCTCAAGCCA